CGCCTCGGCCTGCCCGTGCCGAGCGGCCCAGGTGAGCAGCGTGTCCTGCCTCTCGGTGTCGTGCCGCGCGTCGAGCTGGGCCGCGAGCGACGTGCCGCGCGTCCCCTCCCCGGAGAGGAAGGCGCGCAGCCAGGACAGGTCGCCCCGAGCCAGGTCGCGAGGCGGGTCGGGAGGATGACACCGCTGATGTTCAAGCGAATTTTTTCTTTTTATGTCTTTTTTTGTTTCTTGTTTTAAAAAGAAAGCTCATGTCCAGTTGTTATACATCAGGCCAGAAAGAGTCCTCGTCCCATTCCTCGTTTTTAGGCCAGAAAGAAGTTGCCTCCCCGTCTTTTTTGCCTGGCGTTTGTGCCCCGCTTGTGCCGCGTCCCGTGCCCCCCATTTCAACAATTTTTCTTAACAATTTATTTCGATGTGGCGCTCATTGCTCGCCGCTCCACGGCTCTCGACTCCCGCGCCCCCTCCCGCCGCCGCTGCCGCTCGACGCAACCTGCGCGCCCTCGTTGCGCGCTCTCGGAAGGACGTGCCCGAGGGCGAGGCCGCATCCAGCCTGGTTGATGTCGCGGCGGTCTCTGCGCTGCCAAGGCAGGACCCGAAGGCACGCGACATAGAACACTCGTCCATCTACCGGTGGTGCCGCGCGAGCCCATCCATCCACGCGCAGTCCGCGTCGCCCGTACGCCTCCAACCACGTACATCGGGCCTCGCACTTTCAGCGCTGAGACCTCTCCAGCACTCGACTCAGTCGCCTCTTCCAACTGAGTCGCCTCTGCCTCGCCTCAGCTCACCACGCCTCGCCGTCAGGCGGACGTGGAGGTGGAGATCTCGCACTCGACCCTCAACTACAAGGACGCGATGATCGTCCTCGGCCAGAAGGGGGTCGTGAGAGACTTCCCCATCACACCCGGCTCTCCACACGCCGCCGCTCTCCCGGGCGGGCGGGTGGCAACATCGTGAGTGTAGCAGTGGTCAGTATGGTTTGCTACTAGGCATCGACTACGCCGGCGTCGTCGCGCGCTCCTCCTCCCCGCTGTGGCGCGAGGGCGACGCTGTCGTCCTCACGGGCAACAAGGCGCGAGATTCGACGAGATTCGACGAGATTCGATGAGATTCGACGAGATTCGACGAGATTCGACGAGATTCGACGAGATTCCCTTCGGATTCCGTGCTGCCTTTCCACTTTGACGGCAGCGAGACTCGACGAGATTCGACGAGATCCGACGAGATTCTCCGAGATTCACATTTGGATGCCGTGCTGCCTTTTCGTCTTTCGCCGGAATCTCGGGCAATCTCGGGTGATCTCGGCACATCTCGGCTGATCAGGCGGGGCAGTACTTTGACGGCGGCTACGCCGAGCGCGCCACGTGCCGCGCCGAGTGGCTCGTCGCGCTAGAAGTATCTCCCCACACCTCCCCACATCTCCCCACACCTCCCCGCACCTCCCCGCACCTCCTTCCACCTCCCCACACCTCCCCACACCTCCCCGCACCTCCCTGCACCTCCCCACACCTCCTTCCACCTCCCCACACCTCCCCACACCTCCCCGCACCTCCCTGCACCTCCCCACCTCTCCCCACATCTCCGCACACCTCCCCACATATGCCACATCTGCCGAGATCTCCCAACTCCTCCCCCAACACACGGCGTAACTACCACGACGTGCACGGGCACACCTCGCCGCTAAATACTGGCTCGCATAACGCCAGCTTCACGCTCTGCGAC